CTGATGAGGAAATGTGGTGATTTCCGAAATAGCTATCACTTCTACCAGTTTTTCAAATTATTGTTGCTTTTCCACAATAAATTCACATTTAAAAAATGGCCTCGAGCTCATTATAAAATAGTTGAATATAATTGTTATAAGGCCAAAAAATAACGAAAAACAAATAACTTAAGGACGAGCACACCTAAAAGTTAAGCATTCTAAAAATAGAATTATTAGCACAAACCAACAATACCAACAACCACATGATCAAGTGAATTGCAGCGGAATAGCTGCGCTTGATTGTGTTGGCATAACAAAAAAAAAAATGAAAACAGCAGAAATAAGCAAACGATAATTTACAAGTCGTACTTAGAACGATGCATAGGCAACTGGCTGAGTCAGTGGGATCGTCGGTTCGAATCCTACTGAAAGAAGTCTGATGAGGAAATGTGGTGATTTCCGAAATAGCTATCACTTCTACCATTTTTTCAAATTATTGTTGCTTTTCCACAATAAATTTTCATTTAAAAAAATGGCCTCGAGCTCATTATAAAATTGTTGAATATAATAATAATTTTATTTAAAATAAAATTTTATTTTTGTTGGTTTTGTTTCGCTCTTTTTAGCATTTAGAATTTGCATGTGGCTCTTTTCGGCCTCGGCCTTGCCCACCCCTGCAATAGAGGTATGTTGTACAAAAACACATAAATAGAGGTCAACAAAAGCTGATATTATATAAAACTATTCGCCAATTTAAATAAACAACTTTTTACTGTACATGTTTTTTTTTACGAGAAGGAAGCATCGAAAGCCTAACCCTGTCAGTGTGAGACTGCAACCCAAACTAAACCTCCTACCGTTATGTACCGTTCCCCTCCCAGTACAACAGTCAAGGATTTCGTCGGGATAATAACACTGTGTGACTGATAAAGCTACAGATCTAATGATGCACAAAAAATGTGTGTACTTAGAATTTTGAATACACCCTCAAAAGGTGGACTTAAGGTATAAATACGCGTTTTTCGTAGTTTGAGCTTTATAATTGTTGGTAACTTAATTTCCGAAGGAAAATATATACAGCGCGTACATAGCTACCGCATCCCTCAATACGTGCAATTCTTTGATTAATTCAAGCCTCTAAAACAACACACTGTAACCTTTATAAATGCAACTTCAAAACAATTTAACCTCCTACCTACAACTTACTTTGTTTATGCATGTCCACACACACAACATTTGAATTTGTTGCCTTTCTTTGACTGGAAAAACTAGAAAGTGGCATTTCAGTTAAAGTAATACGTGACAGTGTTGCCAGAACTTTTTGACCGACCGGCTAAATTGGCAAAAAAACGGCTAAACTGTTTCAACTAATGGTGATTTCGTTTTTTCCAAAAAATGTTATCCTTCCCGGTGCAAAATGTGTTTGATATTACACTCAGCTCTGTAAAAAGGTATGTTTTTGCCTTCTTGTCCTTGTATAGCTCACGCATTTAATATAATACAAATAAATGTAGATCTTTTTTTTGCCTCTCTCAATGTATTTTCAAAATTCTATACAAATTTCTTATGCTTGAAACGCAACCGTGGACACTAGCTGGCAGGGAAACTTGCAAATTCCTGCTAATTTGCTTTCGGGCAGAAATTTGCAAGTTTCTCTACTTAAGAGAGAATTTGTAAGCATTTTTTCTTACTATCTGATATTTTGAATGATAATTTTCGCTGGATTTTCGACGAACAAACCTATTGTCTTCACAGAGGGTTTTGCTGTACATAGAAATTTGTGCTCTTTTATTTTCATATTGACGCATTTCAGTGTTGGTTCTTTAAATTCAAGTTAGCCTTCGGTTTTTGGAATTTTAATAAGTTCTCAGCAAAAAAAGTTTGTTTATAAAAGTACATACATATGTGTACATAGTGCTTGAATATATCAATATTTCCTTTACCTTAAACCTTTAGGAGTGGGCAACAATGATGTTTTGCAATTAAGGCAGAATTGAATATGCG